CTTCCTTCCTTCCTTCCTTCCTTCCTTCCTTCCTTCCTTCCTTCCTTTCTTTCAAATCTGTGCTTTCATGAGTGAAATTGTCTTGTGTTTTAACGGGTTTGGCTTTCCAGCAAAATTTCAAATAAAGTGCTTTTAAGCACAGCTTGGTATCCATAAATGGAAAAAGCCGAAAGGGAATTTGCATAATTCATGGCCCACGTTGCAAAAAAGGGAAAAAAAGAGAGAGAAGAAAGCCAATCTGTAATTCAAATAATGTTATGGTCTGTGGGATACTTTTTATCAAATGGCTTTATTGCTTCAAATGGGGATTGTAGAAATCATTTATCCGTGTTCTGGTCAGCTTATTGTATTCTACCCAGATATTACTAAATCCATAGGTGTAGTGAAGCATGAGGCTCTGGAAGAGAAAATTAGCAGATGGAAAAGGACTGCTTACATTGCAAAGTACCCCCTCCACAATAAATTTCAAGAATCAAAAAAGCAACTGGACATGATTTTAGCATAAATCAAGATCAATTCATAAGAGTTTGCAGAACTTTGGATTCAAAAGCAAAGTCATGCTTTGGAGTACAGAATGCAGATATAAACCCTATTCTTTTATAGAGAGCCATTTTGGTCTAGGAGTTAAGGAACCAGGCTAGAAGCTAGCCTGTGCTAGAAAGTAGGAGAATGTGAGTTCGAGTCCTACCCTAGGTGCCAGCTACTCTCTCTCAGCTCTTAAGAAGATGGTAACAGTAAACCACTTTCAAAATCTTGTCAAGAAGGTTGCAGAAACTAGCCCGGGCAATCCCAAGGAGTCAAAAACTGACTTGAAGGGACCAAATAAATAAAAGCCTTTTCTACACCTTTTCTCCAGGTAAAAGGCTTAAAAACAGTAACTGTGAGAGGGACCTTGGAGTCCTAGCAAACAATCAAACATGAGCCAGCCATGTGCAACAGCAGCCAAAAAAGCTACTATAATCCTTGGTTGTGTAAACAGAGGCATAGAATCAAAACCACATGTAGTATTGGTACCACTTTATAAAGCCCTGATTTAATTTTGTGGTATAAATATATTTTATGAACCAAACCGACCAATTTTGGTCACCCTACTACAAAAAAAGATGTTGAGACCTTGGAAAAAGTTTAAAGAAGAGACAACTAAAATGATCAAAGGCCTTGTGATGACCCCGGGGCATGACACAAAAATAACAAAAGTCACAAAAGTAGATAAATTCCCTTTAATACCTCCAACTTGGCCCCCAATGTCCAGTTATCCTTGGCTGGAGATCAAACTCTTCCCAAAACAGTCTACAAAGGGAAGAAATGCAGTCCGAACTCAAAGTACAATAAATTAGAAGTAAAAAAAACCCAACACAAACCATGTTGAAATAAATTATAACACAACAGGCCAGGATAATAAATTGCAGATTTCCAAAAGATAATGAAACACACACAGTTGGGAGAACACCAAAACCCAGATAAGTCTCGACAAAGATAATGCACGCTTTGCTTCCAGCAAGGTGCTGTGTGCAAACGCCCTTCTTATATCCTGTTCTCCCAGCTGCAACTAATGAAAGGGATCAGGGCCCTTTTCTCTCCCATAAGCCACATTGGTCCCTTTTCTGTTCATCCTTGCGCGCCCTAGGATGAAGAGAGGGTGGCCCTGGGTCTTCCTCTGAATGCCCAGCTGGACAGTGCCCTTCCCCTGTCTCTTCCACAGCCACTGGAGCCACACTCCAACTCCCTGTCAGCTGCTCAATCTCCCCCTCAGAATCAGACTCCAACAAAGGCATGACAGGCCTGGAAACTAAAACATATGAAGAACGGCTGCAGGATTTGGGCTTGGCTAGTCTAGAGAAAAGAAGAATTGGGGTGACATGATATTCCAGTATTTGAGGGGCTGCCGCAAAGAAGAGGGGGTTAAATTATCCTACAAAGCACCAGAGGGCAGGACAAGAAACAATGGTTGGAAACTAATCGAAGAAAGAAGCAAACTGGAATTAAGGAGAAACTTCCTAACAGTGAGGACAATTAACCAGTGGAACAGTTTGCCTCCAGAAAACCTGGCACTCCATCACTGGAGGCTTTTAAGAAGAAACTAGACAGCCACTTATTTGAAATGGTATAGGTCAGTGGTGGCTAACCTTTTTCGGCTGCCATGCCAATAATTGCACGCACTCGCATACCAGCACCCAGAAGGCAATGTGTGCTGGCCCCCCCCCTGCCCATGCGTGCGCAACCCCTTCGCACACCATGAGTCTTTGCACACACGCACGATTCCCCCCTTGTGCACAGCGCGTGTCTGCGCATGCACGCGCGTCTCCCGCGTACCCCCCACACCCCCTGCGCATGCGCACCAGGTACTCAACAGTCAGTTGTCGGCCGGTGGCACGCGCATGTGCAGTGAGGCTCTTCTGGGCGACCTCTCATGTGCTGGGGGAAATGGCTCTGCGTGCTACTTCCGGCACGCGTGGCATAGGTTCGCCGACATGGGTATAGGTTCTCCTGCTTGAGCAGAGGGCTGGACTAGAAGACCTTCAAGGTCCCTTCCAGCTTCTATTCTACTCTACTTTCTATTTTCTATTCTAATCTATTCTATTCTATTCCATTTTCTATTCTATTTTTTCTTTTCTTTATTCTGTTCTCTATTCTATTCTCTATTCTATTTTCTATTCTATTCTAATCTATATTTTCTAATCTATTCTATTTTTTTTATTCTCTATTCTATTCTCTGTTCTAGTCCATTCCATTCTGTTCTATTCTACTCTATTCTCTATTCTATTTTCTATTCTAATCTAATCGCTAATGCTGATCTTCTGCTATTTAGGGGAAGACAAAGATTAGACAGAGCTAAAATCTTGAAACCTCTAGCGACAGTTTGTGGGCTTCGCCTCAGCCTTGCTCCGTTTCACATGTTATTGTATGACCCGATTTTCACCCGCTGTGCTCAAGACGAACGTTTTGTGATTTTTGTCTCACTCAGTGACGCTCCTGCCAAGGCCGTGTCTATATGAAGGAAGGGGTTGAAGGATCTACTGAAGATGAGACGACTGAATCGGAAGAAGACCTTGAATTTAGTGAAAGAATTGGACGCTTTCCCAAAGGTTCCAGAAAGCTACATCGAGACTTCAGCAAGCGGAGGAACAGGTAAACCCTGGCTGACAGTTTGCGCTGTGGGAATTCATGTAGTCCTCGACTTACGATGGTTCGTTTAGCGACCGTTCGGCATGGGAAATGTGACTTAGGGCCATTTTTCACACGTACGACTGTTGCAGTGTTCCCACGGTCACGTTATCAAAATTTCAAATGCTTGGCAACGGACTCCTATTTATGACGGTCGCAGCGTCATGGGGGGTGTGAGGAGGCAGCACGCATTGCCTTCTTGGTGCTGGCACACGAGCGCGCGCGCAATTATTGGCATGGGAGCAGAAAAAGGTTAGCCACCATTGGTATAGCTTCTCCCAGTCAATGCCATTTTTGACCTCATTGTGGTGTTCTTTTTTCCCCAGTTTCTCTTATAGCTTTTACAACAATGGCTCTTTTAACCATAATGGAATTTACAGTCTATCGAGACACCTGGATGAAATATGAGTATGAAGTGGACAAGGATTATACCAGGTAAGGATTTCCCCTGGATTACCTTTTTTAAAAAAACGTATATTGATTGTATATGACTTAATTTGTTGTTCTTTTAAAACAAGCTTGATGCCTTTAAGGGGCCACGGTTTCAAAATTCTTGCATTAATTCTTCAAGAGCCTGATAACAGGAACACCAGGTGGTTATGAAAAACAAAAACAAAATTATTACCTGTCTTCTGGGACATAAGGAAGAAACATGCTTTGCTACACCTTTGAAGGGGAGGTAAGGTAGATCCAAATAGATTCGTTTAGGAGCAAAGCTGTTAAGAGAGGATATTGCCACACGGTCAAGCTGCTTAAAATCGAGAAAACTCGATTATCCCAGAAGCTCATTAGAAAGATTTAGTGAAAGGAAAAGGGGTTAGTTTTCTGTACCTCAGAACTCTCTGTGTGTGTGTGTGTGTGTGTGTGTGTGTGTGTGTGTGTATGTATGTATGTATGTATGTATGATATACATACATAACATACATATATATATAATTTAGCCTCCTATTAGTATAGTAAGGCAAGTCCTCTCTGATGTCACTTTAATTTAATTTTATTATTATTTATTATTTATTTTATGATTTTAATCCCCCCTTTATTATTTTTACAAATAACTCAAGGCACGGAACATGCCCAGTCCATCTTCCTTCTCCTAATTTCCCCCACAACAACCCTGTGAGGTGAGTTGGGCTGAGTGGGAGACTGACCCAAGGTCGCCCGGCTGGTTTTCATGGCTAAGGCAGGACTAGAACTCACCATCTCCTAGTGATTGGCCCAAAGTCACCCAACTGGCTTTCAAGGCTAATGCAAGACTAGAACTCACAATTTCCTGGTGATTGGCCCAAAATCACCCACTCAGCTTTCATGACTTGGCAGAACTAGAACTCACCATCTCCCATTTTCAAGCCTGGCGCCTTAATCCATAAACCAAACTAGGTCTCTTTCTAAGATCTCCCTCTCTTGAGTTAAGAGGAGGCCGCAGCCCTTTCTGAAGATACAGACTCCATCTGTTCTTTGACAGTGTTTTGCAAACACTCCTTCCTACTCTTGGGCTCGTTTCGTCAGGTCTGCTGAAATCCATTCAAATTCTGCCTTGGTATTATGGGAGCAACTTGTATTTCGCTGGAATGCTCTTTGATTTCTGGGGAGGGAGGATATTTAGGGCCTAATAGAGAATATAAAATATAGAATAGAATAATAGAATAGAAAGAATAGAATAGAGGCTATAAAATATGGAATGGAATAGAATTACAGAATAGAAAATGGAATGAAAAAGAAAGAATATAAAGTATGGAATAGAATAGAATAAAATAGAATACTTTATTGTCACTTTGAATGTACACTAGTCGGCATACATTGAAATGAAATTGCGTTTCATGCAGCTCTCAAAAGAGTCTCCACCTCTAATATATACATAAACATGACAAGATTATCTAACCCCAGTGGCTTTTGGCCCCCAAATTTATTTTTATATTCACCTTGAGAACTTTCTGTATTAAGCAGTGAATCCTACTCCAATATTTCTTATGCCCATTTTTCAAGCTGGGAGTTTACATGCATTTCTTGGTCTCCCGCTGATGTGCTGTGGATGTGCCTTTGGGGCACCGAAAACATTTTGCATCTCTGCTGGAAGCCGATGTGATTTTTTTAAAAACACTTTTGGAAATAATAGTTGTTTCTTTGGATTCTTTGTGTTGTTGTCATGGAGATAAATAAGCAATTTCTGCCTCAACCTGAAACCTATAGGCAGCGCTTACAAATTTCAAGCTATAGCAATCGCGGGTAAGAATTCCCAGGGAAAAGCATTATTTTTACTGAGTTGTCGCTTCTCCACCTTCAGCTAAACATGATTATGCTGCTCTCATCCCCATGTTGCATCAGAGTTCATAAATGTTTTGATTCACGTTCTTTGAACACTCCAGTGTTTGTTCAGTAAAGCACAGCATGGCATCACACAATTATTTTATCAGTGTTGCTTCCAAAAAGAAAAAGCACAGCATGTCTCTATCTGTTGTGGTTAGCTGGCAGCAGGTGCAGATAGATGGCTGAGGAGAGCGAGGACTCAGATGCTGGGCCAGGACCATTAGGGAGTGGACTGCTGCCTTCAGAGATTGTGGGGGCTGGCAGCAGCGATGAGGTTCCCAAGGAGCCTGTGCCAAGTGCGCGTGCACGCAGGATTGCTCATAGGAAAGAGCAGCTACAACAGCACGGGCGACTCAGGAGTAAGGCTGCAAGGTAATGGCCCCTCCTTCAAGAAGATAAAAGCCAGCTGTGAAACAAAAGTTCTTTGCAGGAAGCAAAGACGTTTTGAAACTCCAGCCTCGTGGACATTCCAGTATCCTGAGTTTGTATTTGAAGATTCTTGTATTGCAAATTATTTCTTGTCTGTTATCTTTTGGCACAGTTTGGCAAGGCTTGTGCTTATCGCAGCTAATTATTTTGCAGAAGCATTACAAGGTTTCTGTTCCCTTTGGATTGTGTTTGATTTGTTGGAAAAGGGTGTGCGTCAGAACACTATCACAATCATATCTCGCTTTAGACCAGGGTTGTCTTAAGAGTTGGTTAAGAGTTTTGGACTTCAACAAAAGCTTGTGGGATTCTGGAAGTTGAAGTCCACAAGTCTTAAAATTGGACAACTTTCTTTAGACTAAAAAGCAGTACTTGAGACATGATGCTTTCGACAAGGTTTCTTCAGACAGGCAGTTCTCTGTTCTCAACAACAACAACAACAAAAATAGAATTCAAGGCAGATTTTTATTGTTCGAGTTGTAGATGGAAATGTAAGGTGGGTTCCTTACTTTACTTGGAATAGTGCATCCAGTTTTGGTCGCCACAATATAAAAAAGATGTTGAGACTCTAGAAAGAGTGCCGAGAAGAGCAACCAAGATGATTAGGGGACTGGGGGCTAAAACATACGAAGAATGGTTGCAGGAATTGGGTATGTCTAGTTTAATGAAAAGAAGGGCCAGAGGTGACATGATAGCAGTCTTCCAATATTTGAGGGGCTGCCCCAAAGAAGAGGGGGTCAAGCTATTCTCCAAAGCACCTGAAGGCAGGAGAAGACGCAATAGATGGAAACTAACCAAGGAGAGAAGTAACCTAGAACTAAGGAATTTCCTGACAGTGAGAACAATTAATCAGTGGAACCACTTGTCTCCAGTGGTTGTAAATGGTCCAACACTGGAGGTTTTAAAGAAGAGATTGGGCAACCCTTCGTTTTAAATGGCGTAGGGTTTCCTGCCTAGAACTAGAAGACCTCCAAGGTCCCTTTCAACTCTTATTCTATTCTATTCTTTATTTTTCTCTCTCTGAATACAAGCAGAAGTCCAACAGGCGAAGTGGTTCACACTCAAGTCCCAGATCGAGGCTCTTAACAAGGTTGGCTTCTGACGTTGTAATTGGCCTCTGAGGAGAAGGCTTGATGCTCTGTAATTAATCTAATTAAACCCCAACCTGTTGCTTTCCAGGTGTTAGTTCTCCTCGGTGGCACCTCTTCAAAAGTGCTTGGTTGGGGAATAGCAAAGATTTATAAAAGATTTGGGATCCAGTTTCTCTAAAAGAAGCAGTCGAGACTATTCCATGCATAGCAGGATAAAAATAACATGTTGGATGATAGTAGTTGGAACATCACATTTCCAGTTTTCCATATTTTGAAGAATGGGGAATATTGTTAAAGTTTTCACATTGCGGTGCAAGTTTCCATTATAGTTACCACCTAATATGATGCCTTTTTTTTAAAGTTGGTATTGCTTAATCTTGGCAGCTTCAAATTGTGTGGACTTCAACTCCCAGAATTCCCCAGCCAGCAATGCACCCATTTTTTTTAAAAAAATGTTTTTTTATTTGTAATTTTCTTTTAACAGCCATACATATTTTGTGGATAGTGCATTGTCTGGGTCAATATACTTTTTACACAATGCTAACAATAATAGTACAATAATCCTGATCTTAGATGGATAAATTAAGCCTAATGCTATGAGAGAAAGAGGAGTCTGAATATTATAGAATTTGGGGAAAATGGTTTGATTGGATTGAATTAAGACAAATGAACGATAGAAGAATTAATGATAAGCAGTTTACAGATTAAAAGATTATATTCGCACAAATTGTATATATTTGTAAATAAGCACAAAATAGAAGTAGATGTAATAGATGTCAAACACTGTTAATGTCATAATATGTATATTTTTGTTCGGTTTTTAAAGACATAAAAGATCAATAAAGTTTATTAAAAAAACATTGACCAGTTATATAAAATGGAAAAAATAAAAAAGAATAAAGAAAAAAAAGATATACATAATCCTACTCTTCCAATTTCTAACCTTAACATGCACATTGAAATTATAGTAAATTCTATTATACATCAGGGTGTGTAATACTATTTTCCCAATTTGTACTTTCCATCTTTCCCCCGCACCCCCTTTAATTTTTAATACAGTCACCATTTGGAAAAGTATTTTGTTTCTATCCATCATCTATTGTTCTTTTTAAAAAATTTCAGCAATCCTATTTACTTTTTGGTAGCTCTTTCATTGATTTGTCTCCTCCACCGCTCCTAAATCATAAGGAGGTAAAGGTATTGTTTAAAAACAAAGATGTGGGTGTAGAACAGAGGTCCAAAAACTTGGCAACTTTAGGACTTGTGGACTTCAAAGCTGCTGAGGAATTCTGGGAGTTGAAGTCCACAAGTCTTAAAGTTGCCAAGTTGGGAGACCTCTGGTGTAGAAGAACCCCAACAAATGGGAGAAAAAGATGAACAAACATACTCAGAAAATAGATGAGAAACCAGAAGGAGCAATGAAGGCATTTTTCAGAATCTGCTTTCATTTTTCTTCCTTAGGCTTTCAGTTCCTCCTGCTCTGATGTCAAATGTCAAGCACTGGTGGCTTTAAATGTTTATGAAAAATTGTGCAGGCAGTCCTCGACTTCTAATGGTTTGCTTAGTGACCGGTTGAAGTTAGAGTGGCATGGGGGAAAAAAAGAAGACTTTGACCGTTTTTCCTCACTTAATGACCGTTGCAGTGGTCAGGTAATCAAAATACAGGGCATGGTTCCTATTTATGACGGTCGCAGTGTCCAGTGATCATGTTTTGCTTCTGACAAGCAAAGTCAATGGGGAAGCCAGATTTGCTTAGCAAATTTACTAATTTAACAATGGTGTTAAATTTAACAGTGGCAAGAAAGGTCATAAAATGAGGGCAAAATTCACTTAACAGCATAAATTTTGGGTTCCATTGTGGCCTTATGTGCAGGACTGTCTCACACATCAGGACAAAGAAGAATTGACACTATAGGCACTCTGATGAAATTAACATAATTGTATTTTCTTCTTTTCTAGTAAATTAAGAATGAATATAGACATCACAGTTGCAATGAAGTGTCAACGTAAGTATTTTCATTTGATCTTTGTTTTACTACAGCAGTTATTCAGGCTAGACCGGTGATGTCGATCCTTTTCGTTTTGTGCCGAAAACGCGCGCGCATGTGCCGGCACCCACAATGCAATATACCCCATTCCCCCTGCGTATGCACGTGCTTCCCAGCTGATTTTTGGCCCATTTGAGGCTGCTTTCGCCTTCCCAGAGGCTCGAGGAAAGCCTCTGCAGCCTCGGGAGGCTGAAAAATGGGCCTGTTTCGGCACTTCCATTTTTTGCCCTGCAGAGGCTTCTCTCGAGCCCGCCGGAGGGTGAAAATGGCCTCTCCCGGGCTCCAGAGGCCTGCCAGAGGCTGAAAACGGGCCTCCGGAGGACCTCTGGAGCCCGGGGGAGGCTGTTTTTGCCCTCCCGGAGGCTCGAGCCTCTGGGGGCTGAAAATGGGCCCATTTTGGCACTTCCGGTATTTTCAGAAGGCCCATTTTTCGGCCTCCCGAGGCTGCAGAGGCTTCCCTCGAGCCTCCAGGAGGGCGAAAACAGCCTCAAACAGGCCAAAAATCAGCTGGGAGGCGCGCACATGCGCAGTGCAGGTAAGTTTGGCTGGGGCTCGCGTGCCCGTACAAATGGCTCTGCGTGCCACCTGTGGCACACATGCCATAGGTTCACCATCATGGGTCTAGACTGACATATTACTCATGAAATCAGGATCGAAATCAGATAATGCTAGGTCGAGATTCCTCTCTTCAAGCTTTGACAAGATCTATTATTGAAAGTAGATCTTTGATGACTTTCCCTATATTAATGCTGTCATTATTGTGATATCTATTTTAAAGCTAGAAGCGAGACTTTTGAAATGGCTACCTTCTTTTTTTTTTAAAAAAATCACATTGGATAGTACAAAAAAGAAGAAAAAAAGAGAAGCCAGATGCAAATTGGAGCTAATATTCAGCAAAATGCTTTGAAATGATGGCATCCATTAGTCTCAGCCAATCCTTTTACCAACTAATAATGCATCTTGAATTACCATTATTTACAGTACTTATAATCGGGGTTTTAATAAGCAGGAGTACTTGTTTCTGGGGCCCAAAGAAGCCACAATATTTCTGTAGTCCTCACTGAGAAGAAAGCAGGATTTGTAAATTCCTTCTATTTTTTGAGATGCCTGCAGTTGGTGGGCTCAAAACGCACAAGTTTCTCAGTTTTCTGCCTGTAAATTTGTTAAAGAAATAAATTTTATTGTAATGATTTGAGGATTCGATTAAAGGAACAGATGGATCCACATTTCGTTTAACGACGGAGGTTTGGAAAAGAAACAGTTTATATAACCCTTTGCAAATTCTTACCTCTCCTTTTCAACTTTTTGAAACAGATATTGGTGCTGACGTCCTGGATTTGGCAGAAACAATGGTTGCTACTGCAGATGGATTGGTCTATGAACCAGTAAGTGGGAGTTTCATTGTTTTTTTGGTCAAAGGTTCAGTGACACCTGCTGCTTCCCAAGATCATGAAGCCGACTCCTTGTTCCGATAAAACCCCTTTTATTTAGGTTAAAGGGAATTCCTCTCCAGCAAAGTCCCGGCCAACAGTCTTTCAAGAGATTTCACAACTACAAACCTTTATCAGTCTGGGAGAACTGCCAGGCCGATATCTTCCAAATGCCACACTGTAGCAGCAATTACTTGGCAAGAAGTCAAGAACAGATCTTCACCCTAATGAATTGAACTAATTGTCTCCTGCAAACACCCTTCCCCTTTCGCTCCTCTTTATTCCCAATGGGAGGGGCCATTCACCGTCCACCTGTGCCCTTACTCCCGAGTCGACCCTTGTTCCTTAACTGTTCCCTTCTCCTGGCAGCTCTGTGCATGCGCACACTGGTAACAGGCTCCAGCTGTTCTTCTGCCCCACTGATCTCTGACTCCAAAGGCAGCTGATAACTGTCAGATGGCTCTGGCCCCATCTCTGCCTCCGATGCAGAGCCTCGAAAGAGCTTTCCCCAGACTCCAGGACTGGCCCATGTTCTTCACCAACCTCCTCACTGTGGCTGCTGGTGGGCCACAACACCTGGCTTGTTATGCATTCCAGGGGTGAAACTATTCACCCCATGATAACTCTTGATTTTACTGAGCTTGGCTTGGGTATCCACGGTTTCAGAAAATATGACCAGAGTTGACATCCACCATCAGGATAGCCATGCCATGCCATGCAGAACCGTGAACCACACGGTCTTCTCTAGTGAGAATGGCAAGCAGAAGATGGATTTCCATTCCAAAAAAAAACCTTACTCTCCAAATGTCAACTCGACTTACGGCCACAATTGAGCCCAAAAGTTCCGTTGCTGAGCAGAGCGGTTGCTAAGTGAGTTTTGTTCCCTTTTATGACCTTTTCACCATTGTCGCTAAGCGAATCGCTGCAGTTGTTAAGCGAACCATGCAGCCACTAAGCGTGTCTGGCTTCCCCCATTGACTTCGCTCGTTGAACACCCGCTGTGAAGGTTACAAAAAGTGAACACTTGAGCCTGTGAAACCGTCATAAATACCTGCCAGTTGCCAAAGATTATTTTTGTTGTTATGTGCCTTCGAGTCAGTTTTGGTTCCTGGCAACTGCCTGGCCCAGGCCCTGCAGTTTTCTTGACAAGGTCTTTCAGAAGTGGTTTGCCATTGCATTCTTCCTAGGGCTGAGGGGGAGTGGTTGGCCTGCAGTTCCCATTTTCTAGCCCAGTTCCTTAACCACATATCAAACTGGATTATCGTTGCTGGATTATCGTTTGGTGCAGCTTTCTTAGGCTCACAATTTTTTTCAGAAACAAACTAAAGATAGTTTATGTCTTAACTTTGATTGTTTTTTTTTGTTTTGTTTTAGGTGATATTTGAACTCAGTCCCATGCAAAGAGAGTGGCAAAGGTAACAATTCAGTAATTATAATCATCATAATTCATGTCCATCCAAGGCCATCTTAGTTCAACTTTAAACTGACTAAGTACTTAAATAATTTCACTGGTGGGTTGTAGCTCGGCAGCAAGGGTCTTCAAACTTGGCAAGTTTAACACTTGTGGACTTAAACTCTCAGAATTCCTGAGCTAACATGACTGGAAAAGGAATTCTGGGAGCTGAAGTCCACAAGTTTTAAAGCTGTCAAGTTTGAAGACCCCGTTCTGCATGTTGCTTTATTGTGCAGACGTTTCACTGTTGTTAGAAGTGCTGCTGTAGGACAGGGAATGGCAGAGCTTGTGGGTGGAGTGAAAAGAGGCATCAGCCTAGAATCCCTACATAGCCACAAGAGAACTAAGTCCAATCTCCCTTGAATACCATTGACAGTTATCTAACCGTTGTCTACTGCTGATGGTTATCTAACTCTAAGCAGGTTGAGAAGATTTGTTGATTAGTTGAGAAAATTCTTGTGCAATTCTTGGCTTTTAGCAATAGACCACTTTAATTAAACCTTCATATATAGACCTGGTCTTTCATGCCTGATAGAATTCTTTATTGGCCAAGATGCACAAGGAATTTGTCTCTGGTGCAGAAGCTCTCAACGTACATACAAGCAACCAAGTGATAAATCGCGATAATTTATCATAAAAATAAAGGTTCCCCTCGCACATATGTGCTAGTTGTTTCTGGCTAAGGGGGCGGTGCTCATCTTCGGTACAAAGCCGAAGAAGAGCCAGCGCTGTCCGAAGACGTCTCCGTGATCATGTGGCTAGCATGAGTAAACACCCAAAGGCACACAGAACGCTGTTACCTTCCCACCAAAGGTGGTCGCTATTTTTCTACTTGCATTTTTTTTAATGTGCTTTCGAACTGCTACGTTGGCAGAAAGCTGGGACAAGTGATGGGAGCTCACTCTATTATGCTGTGCTAGGGATTCGAACCGACAAACTGCCGGCCTTTCTGATCGACAAGCTCAGTGTCTTAGCCACTGAGCCACTGTGTCCCCTATCATAAAAATGCATTCATCATAAATCATAAGATGCAACACTCAGTGATAGTCATTGGATACCAAATAAGCAGTCGACATCAACTATACTAGGATATTAAATAAAACAATATAAATTGTAAAACACAAGCAACAATGTTACAGTCATAAGAAGATAAAGAAATTGGTAGTAGGAAAGATGAGAAGGATATTAATATAGCCCTACTAAGCAGTTTGATAGTGTTGTGAGAATTAGTTGTTTAGTAGAATGATGGCATGGGGGAAATACACATACACGTATATAACTAATTATATAATATAAATAACTATAATGTATTATAGATAGGTAAGTAGGTAGATATAGAATAGATAGATAATGATAGATTGATAGATAGTTAAATAGATATAGATAGATTGATCGATAGAATAGATAGATTGATATAGATATGATAGCTGAATCTTTGTCTTTTGCTTTACTTCTAGGATACTACAAAATATTCAGGCCCGGCTGCAGGAAGAACACTCTCTCCAAGACATAATATTCAAAAGTGCTTTTAAAAGTGCTTCAACGGCACTTCCACCAAGGTGAGACAGTAGCTTCAGGGTCTCCTCACCTTGGGGGAGTGGGGGGGGGGTGAGAAACCATGAAAAAGAACTAATGTAATCTAAAACATGCCAATTCAGAGATAAAAGCCATGACTTTAGCCATATTTTTAGAATCAATGTGCTAAGCCATTTCTCAGTAAGGAAGTTTTTAATACACAAAGTGATAAAAGTAAAATAAACCCGAAAGAAGTTGTGGATACTCCAGCACAGGAGATTGTTAAGAGGAGATCACACAGCCCCTTGTCTGGAATGGTATAAGGTCAGAGGTTGGCAACCCGCGGCTGTAGAGCTGCATGTGGCTCTTTCCCCCCTCTGCTGTGACTCAGTCGCTCAAAATGTGCGTCACAACCACCAATGTGTGTGACATCCGCCGGCATGCGATTTATTGAGTTTTCTGACCCCCCGGTAGGCCAACCACAGATAAATCCAAGAAAAGAAAAGTGTCAGAAGAAAACATAACGTTTAACCTGAATGGTACGAGACTGTTCTGACCCAGGCTTCATCAATCATAATTAATCACAAACTTGTTTTAAAAGAAAAACCTATTTTATTGCAACGCTGGGAATTGTTTCCATTCCCAGCCGGAACTAATCTTAAACAGTTCCCCAAGATAAGCACTCACCTTTCAGTGCTGTGGAATGCTGCCAAAAACAGAAGTATCCAATTAATTGTAAAAGAAACCAAAGTACAAGAAAAGGAACAACCAAACTACACAGAGCTTGAGGATGATTCGGAACCAATCAAACTACTTTGCTTCCTGCAAAGGTTTTGTCATCTTGGCCTGACTTTTATCCCTTATGGGAGGGGCAATCACCTCCCAGCCTTACTCCCGAGTCACCCCTTCTGTATCAGCTGCTCTCGCCTTCTAGCACCTCTGGGCACACGTGCCCTGGGAACAGATTCCCTTTGTTCCTCTGCCTCGCTGCTGCCAAACTCCAGAGGCTCCAGAGTCGGCACACCACTCCCAGATAGTCCTGGCCCCATCTCTGCATCGGACGCAGGACCCTCACCCAAGTCCTCTCTAGACTCCCTGACTGGTCCCTGTTCTTCCTCACTGTCCGATTCCACTGCCGTCTGCACCGGCTGCCGGCGAACCACAACAGAGACTGGTTTACCAGTATGATTAATATGTGGTGAGAAATTGGCAAACATGCGGTGTTATCTTCATTTGAGATGTCAAAAAGGGTTTTGTGGCTCCCTGTTTTTTCTTTTCTGTGGGAAATGGGTCCAAATGGCTCTATGAGTGCTTCAGTTTGCCGACCACCTGGTATAGGTTCTCCTACTAGAGTAGGGGGGTTGGACTAGAAGACCTCCAAAGTCCCTTCCAATCCTGTTATTCTATCTCCTGTCTTCTAAGACACACCAGTACGTCTCCTAATTTTTCCTCAATTTGCGAGCTTGCATCTACTTCCGTGGTCATTGGGGATCATTACATTAGAATTTGCCTATGAGCAATATGTAATTTGTATTTTGCAAGGCTTTGTAAAATGCAAAGTGCTACTTTTTAAGAATTGCATTTCATTTTTTTTTTAAATCTGCGCAGGGAAGACAATCCCGTACATTCGGCTGATGCCTGCAGAATTCACGGGCACCTCTATGTGAATAAAGTAGCAGGGAACTTTCACGTTACAGTGGGCAAGTATGTTCATTTCATTTCCTGAAACGCTATAAACCAGCATTTGCAACTTTTAAGACGTGTGGACTTCAACTCCCAGAACTCCCCAGCCAGCTCCTTCTGGGAGTTGAAGTCCACCTGTCTTAAAGTTGCCATGGTTGGGAAACCCTATTATAAACCAGCTTTTGCTTCCCAGTTCAAAACATCAGATGTACATTTTTCAAGGAACAGACCAAGAATACCATTGTTCTGACCCAGCTCCCCAAACACGACAAACCCTCTGAGGTGACCCGAAAAAGGTTCCTTTATTAGGAGTGCCGGCAGCCCCAGCAAAAAGTTTCTCTCGCAGGTTAACTAGTCCGTCCAGACGGAAAATGAATAGTTGTCTGCCACATCTATTCATCTCCACCCCCTGCCTTTTATCCCCAGAGCTCGGGTGGGGCTTCGCTAGTAGCAGTGGCTCTTCCGTCCCAAGGGCCGACCCATAGATCTCCACTGCTCTCCTCTCCTCTGCCTTCTGCGCATCTGCGTGTCAGGCACTGGACCCAGCTGTTCCTCATCAGTCACCTCCAGACCTGGGGGCTGTTGACTCTCCATCAGAGGGCTCAGGCTCTGCCTCTGCCTCTCTCTCTGCCAGCTCCATTCTCTCCTCCCCCTGGAAGGTCCCAGGTTGCCCTGATGCTGACCCTGATTCCCACACCTCCTCCTCCTCTGATTCGGCTGCTGGAGGGGCGGAATAGAATAGTTCCCCAACCTTTCCAGATTGGTGGCCCAGAGAAGGTAGGGGGGAAAGAGGGGAGAGTTTTGTTGTGCACGCGAGCCCCCGTTGCGCTAGTAGGGCCACGACCCCCTGCGATGCGCGAGTGGGGCTGTGAGCCCTCCCGCAATGCTCACGCAAGTGGGGCTATGCACATGCACACGTGTACGCGACACCCAGCCACTCAAGATTGGAGACACCTACTACAGAGTTCATTTGGAAGTCTGTTTGCGAAAAGAAGCGTTCCTGTCATTGGAAATGTGTATCAATTCCATGATTAAGTCTGCCCTTCAATAACATTCTTGAATTCCAACACAACCATTTTTCTTTCTTCCTTCCCTTTCATTTTAGGGCAATTCCCCACCCGAGGGGCCACGCACATTTGGCAGCCCTGGTGAGCCACGAATGTAAGCCAGCTCTGTTCCTTGGGCGTTGGACGTGTTATTTTTCACAGAGTGCTTGGGACAAATCTATCCAGGCACATTCTTCACCGCTTGCACAAAATAACTTTGTGACCTGCTCTGCAAAAGCAGCCGACCTCTGGAGGCATGTGCCGAAACAAATGCACACCGCCACTAGGTTTTTGGAGCGTGGTCAGCAGTCACCCTAATTAAATCCCCTGTGACTCTGTTTCGCCCCTTCCCCCTGGGTGTATCATAAATCAGATTCTCCAATTGAGCCCATTCACAGGTTGGGTGTCATCAATCACATTCTCCAATTAAATATATTAGTGGGCAAAAGCTCTGGTATTGTAGTTACAACCTTTTAAAGAGAAGAGTTGGAATGTACTTTCGATTTCAAACTGTACTGCTCTTCCAGATTTCCTCCCCCCTCCCCCCCTTTTTTATGGCAACTACTAAAACAGGCATAAAACAGGCAATATTTTATGAGTTGACAATGACACCATTAAAATGCTAGAGGGATGCTGGGAAGCTCAGGACGAGAGCATCCAACCTTGGCCACTTTAAGACTTGTGGACTTCAACTTCCATGCTGGGGAATCCTGGGAGCTGAAGTCCACAAGTCTTAAAAATGGCCAAATTTGGAGAGCCCTGATATATACAGTAGATGAAATTTCATCCACAATTTTGAGTAGAAAAATGAAGCTCTTGGGTTGCCTTGTGTTGAACCTGAGCCACAAGGTAGTCCTTGACTCAGGACAGTTCATTTAGCGACCGCTCTAAGTTACGACGTCACTGGGGGGAAAAAAATGACTTACACCCCCTTTCACATTTCATGGTCACAAGATCAAAATTCAGTTGCTTGGCAACTGACTCATATTTATGGCGATTTTCCTGTGTCCCCGGGGGTGTGTGTGTGTGATACCTTTTTGTGACTACCTCTCAATCAGACTCAACGGGGAAACCAGGTTTCCCTTAATGACCGTGTTACTGACTTAACAACTTGCGGCGATTTGCTTAACAAAGATAGCAAGAAAGGTCCATAAAATGGGACAGAATTTACTTAACTCTTAGCCACAGAAATGTTGGGCTCAATTGTGGTTGTAAATCAAGGACTTGTTTGTGTGTGTGTGTGTGTATATATATATATATATACACACCGTATTTCTCAGAAAATAAGGCTGGGCCTTATTTATTTTTTTTGACCCCCCAAAAAAACGGCTAGTCTTTTCGAGGGGTGACTTAATTTTCCCTCCACACGCACCCTCACCTAGAGTGCCCCATGCGTGCAGATTCACCTCGCCACCGGGCCACTTCTATCGGCCGTTAGGAGCAGCCTGCTGGCGAGGCATGGCTGCCTGCGGGGCGCTCTAGCCGGGGCGCTCCTAACAGCAAGTTTACCCCTCCCTGCCTTTCCCCCCAATTTCTGTTCACCTCGTGTTGTTCAAGCGATGTGAGAAATGGTGGGAAACACATGCTTTAAATAGGCCCAAATTTGGGGGACGGGGCTTAATTTCACCGCATGCGTATAAAACAGTGCTGGGCCTTCCTATTGGGTGGGGGCGTATTGTTGAAGAAATACGGTGTGTGTGTGTATGTGTGTGTGTGTGTATGTATGTATGTATGTATGTATGTATGTATGTGTGTGTGTGTATATATATATATATTCATTCATTCTGAGGATATACACACACACACTACACACACACACACCCATAGTTAAAATTACGATATTAACCAGGTGTTTTCCCGTTGTGTCTTCCAGCATACAATTTCTCCCATAGGATAGATCACTTGTCTTTTGGAGAGCTCATTCCAGGCATTATTAATCCTTTAGACGGTACCGAAAAAATTGCATCAGATCGTAAGTGGGTTCTATTTGTCGGGGGGGGGGGGGAGACAACAGCTCAACAACTTTGTTTGTTGTTGGATTACAATTCTCTCCTTGATTTCCCTGAATGGCATTTATTGCATCATTTCCGTGGAATTTCTAATGACTCCGCCGAGGTTTTAATCACACCTCCGCTGAGATATTCAATAATTACAATAATAATGGGTAGTGTAATACGTTTCATAAATAAATATGTCTTTTTTTTTACGGAATCTAGCCTCGATGGTGCATTTTCCGTGGAACATCTCTCGCTTCCCCCAAATTATGAATATATTTACATAAAGATTAATTATCGCACGTGGGGTGTTGAGCCTTTTGTATAAGCACAAGGAAATGGATATAAGGAGGCACGAGAGATTTACGAAGCAGTGATTTCGTTTTATTCGTGGATAAATGAGTTTATCTTGTGTTGAAATGCGCTTTAAAACTTTCTCTATGACATAGAATAAAACCAACGATGTAGGATTGTTCTCAGACCGTTGTTTTTCTTGCGTGATGAATTTTGTTTTAACTATTTTTTCTTTTGGGGTGGGGTGGGGTTCTGCAGACAATCAGATGTTCCAGTACTTTGTCACAGTGGTGCCAACAAAACTTCAAACACACAAAATTTCAGCAGAAACGCATCAGTTTGCAGTAACAGAAAGGGTGAGTCCTGGCATCAAAAAAAGAGCAGTGTTTATCTCTCTCTCTCTATATATATATATAAAAGCAAACTACCACTCATGAATCATCACAAAATCTCCAGAACTGTAAAGCCTACAAACTTGAAATTTGGCACGTATGTTCCTCTTGGCTTCTAGGTGCTCACTAAGAAAGGATTTTTCGAAATGACTATCAGAGCTTTAGTATTTCCTATATTATTATTAACACGCTCTGATGCTAAGGAGTTCTACTCCCCCTCCCCACCTGAAAAGAAATCTCTTCCAAATACAAACACAAGGAGAGGAGTTTCAGTTTCAGAGCACCAAGCAGCTTTAGTACAGAACAGTTGAGCTAAGCCACGCCCAGGCTCCTTGCTGTCTCCTTCTTGCTCACGCAGCAAATACTCTTTCACTTTCCAAACAACTCTCAACTCAACTCAACTCTCACACACTGACACGACGCTAGCCAGATGAATACCGATGGATGCAGAGACATAATCCGCCCCCGCTTATTTTCCTCCATAAAAACTAAACCCAATCACATAGTTTCGTAGCGAAGCACGGGTATCCAGCTAGTATATATATGATATGTGTGAAGTATAGATGCCATTTTCTTCTGTCATTTTCCTTTACGATACAAAAGTAGAATATTTTAGAAATATTTTGTGAGTGTGAGCTGTAGGTGCTGTTTTCTTCTGTTGTTTTCCTTTATGATAAAATAAAGTAAAGTAAAATACAGCTCTTGCAATAAACAGATGTGCGTGCAAAGTCCGTAATTAAATGATTTCCATTTTTTCTTTTTTCTAATGTTTCTTAACGCTAGAGCCAGCTCTTCTGAAATACATTTTAAATAATTTATTATTTAAATAAATTATTTTATATGGTGGGGCATGGCCATCACTCGTGTCGGGGGCACCTGTGGAGACCCTCCCTCACTCTTATTCTAATCTCCTTCCTTCCTTCCCTTTTCCTTCCCTTTTCATTCTCCTTTCTTCTTCCTTCCCCTCTTTTCTTCTTTTTCCTTCCTTGCTCTCTTCCCATCTTCCTTTCTTTTTTCTCTTTCCTTGTTCCCTTTCTCCTTTCCTATCCCTTCCTGCATGCTCAAATCCAAAAAGGGAAACATTTATCCTTTTCTTTGTTTTTAGTTTGCTTTGCTAGCCCTCTGCCAGCGAAAATGGGGCTTGGACGGGCTGCCACGGCCTCCTGCAGCCCTCTGCCAGTGGGTCCCCGAAGCTCCATTTTCGCTGGCAGAGGCACCATGGGCTGGTTTTGACACCCCTGGTCTAATGTATGTAAATCAAAGTCTTCATTTGTCTCGGACCTAATACAGTATTGCAAAGCTATTCCTGATTCGGTTTTCCTTCTTGCTGCTTTTCCTAGGAGCGCGTGATCAACCACGCAGCCGGAAGTCACGGAGTCTCTGGAATTTTCATGAAATATGATATCAGTTCCCTTATGGTGACCGTCACCGAGGAACACATGCCCTTCTGGCAGTTTATCATCAGACTCTGTGGTATAGTTGGAGGAATTTTTTCTACTACAGGTAACCCCCCCCCCCCCCCAAAATAAGACCCAACCAGAAAATAAGCCCTAGCGTGATTTTTCAGGATGCTCATAATATAAGTGTCAGGATTCCAGCAGTTACTCCCATTTAAATCATGAGTCTCAAGCCAAACTTCCAAAACTTAGAAAGAATTTATTGGGAGTAAACATGCCGGCACCGCCTGGGTGTAGCTGACTCTGAGGCACATCATTCATTGTCACCCTTGACCCTGGTTTTTCCCCCACCCCCTGGGTGTACCGTAATTCATATTCTCCAATGGGACACATCCATAGCCAAGAGTCATCAATCATGCTCTCCAGTTAGAATTTTGCGGGGCAGAAACTTAAATCACCTAGTTACTATCTTTGAAAAACTATTTATGGAATGCACTTTCGATTTCCAAGCTGCTTTACTGCTCTTTCAAACCCCTTTCTGTTGGCAACTCTAAAAAGACCAGAGAAATATTTTATGAGTTGACAATAAGCCCTACCCCCAAAATAAGCCCTAGTTAAGATCGTCAGCCATACGGGTGCATTTAGTACCGTATTTCTCTGAAAATAAGACCTAATGTGACTTTTGGAGCAAAAATTAATATAAGACCCAGTTTTATTTTTGGGGAAACATGGGTATTAATAGATACAGGGGGTCCTTGACATATGACCATAATTGGGGTTGGAATTTCCACCGTTAAACAAGGAAATTGTTAAGTGAGTCACACCTGATGTTATGCCTTTTTTGTGACAGTTGTTAAGTGAATCACTTGGTTGTTAAACAAATTCAGCATCCCCAATTGACTTAGCTTGTCAGGCGCTGGTTGTAACCACTTTACCGCATCAAATAGAATAACCAGCATAACCAAATGTTCCATTTGTTCTCTTACCGTAGGCATTTTACACAGCATTGGAGGGTTCATAGTGGAAATTATCTGTTGCCGTTTCAGACTGAAGTCTTCTAAATCTACACCTGTAAGTATTCTGAGTAACACCTGGGATTTAATTAGGGTAGGTGTAGCTCAGGGTTGAACTGTGAGGTCTTTGGTGCTCTCTTGAGCTTGCTTGTTTTCTCCCAGACGTTTCACGAACCCAACTAGGAAACATCCTCAGGGTGAGATATCTCAGTCAGTCATTTTGGTCACTGATGACATTCCCTAGTTGGGTCATGAGACGTCTGCAAGCAAACAACCAAGAACTCCAGATAGGGCTTTGTGTGTATCTAGCCTTAGACAGGACTCTTGCTTTCCTCTCCTGCCTCACACAGAGAACAGAATAAGGTTATAATCCAGACGAGGGGAAAGGATCCTTGGAAATCTAATGGCGCTCTTAATTGGAGCACAGCTTTGGTGAGGGTAGATAGCCCATCCCAATTTTTAGGGACCTTCCTTGTAACAACACCCTAACCACAGGGGTGGGCTTCAGAAATTTTAGCAACCGGTTCTCGGCCCGGTTACTGGGTGGGCGTGGCCATCGTGCGCATGGCCTAGTCAGCCTCCTACACCACGGTGGGGGGGTGTTTTTACTGTCCCTGGGCTCCAGAGGCTTTCCTCAAGCTTCCGGGAGAGCGAAAACAGCCTCCCCTAGTCTCCGGGGGCCCTCTAGAGGCTGGAAACAGGCCTATTTCTGACCTTCTGGAACCTCCAGGAGGCCCATTTTTCACCTTCCCCGAGCCTCCGTACTGGCCCTACACTTACCTGGCATCCAAAATGGCCCACGTGGGGACTCCGGGGAGGGGAGGGGCCAGCTAGGGGTGGGATTTGCCGCTTCCCCGAACCGGCCATAAAATTAGCTACCGGTTAGCTATGGGTTCGGGCGAACTAACTATCTCTGTAGCCTTTTGGCAAAGAATTGTGGGAGTCGATACTGGGACATATTTGGAATTACAAAGTAGTTAGGAACCGCATGGATAATCTAATCCAGCCACCTGCAATGTGGAGAAAACCCAGTCTCCATATCCATAGGAGATGGTCTCCAGCCTCTTCTTACAAACCCTCCAGAGAAACGCACAACTTCTACAATGAGACCGTCCCACTGACTGTCTATGGAGAGATTTCTCAGTCCACCAAGTCATGGTTGTTGGTTTTTTTTTCCAAAAGACAACTGGACTTTGTTTTCCCTTGAAGAGATTTTACTGCTTCTTCTGAAGAACTGGAAGAAGCTTCTTGGATGAGAAGCGAAACCTCTTCAAGGGAAAACAGAATCCAGTTGCCTTTTGGAAAAAAAACCTCTTTTGGGACGTTTTATTAATTGTTGGAGAGTCCTTGCCATTAGAAAGTTGTTCCTCCTATTTAAATGAAAGCTAGGTGGGTAACAGCCATTATTGCAGGATCTTAGTATCTGTGACCATTGAAAATAATACTTTGCTATCAAAAGATGAAGAGCTGATGGGGGAAAACCTAATTTCATCTCCCCAACTTCCTTAATTAATTAATTCTGAACTCGCCTCATAGCATGCTGTAGGTATCTCTCGTAATACAAGTGCATAGAAGTAACTATCAGATTGACAGTAATAGAACTCAGGCTTTCTATTAGAATAGAATAGAATGGAGCTGGAAGGGACCCTGGAAGTCTTCTAGTCCAGCCCCCTGCTCTGGCAGGAGATCCTATACCCATGATGGCGAACCTATGGCACACATGCCACAGGTGGCACGCAGAGCCATTTGTGCTGGCACGTGAGCCACAGGCAAACTTACCTCACTGCGCATGTGCGTGCCTCACAGCTGATTTTTCGGCTGGTTTGAAGCCTTTTTCAGCCTTCCAGAGGCTTGAAAAAAGCCTCTACAGGATTTGCAGGACGAATAATAGGCCCGTTTTGTCACTTCCTGTAATACCGGAAGTGACGAAACGAGCCTATTATTCGTCCTGCAAAGCCTGCAGAGGCTTTTTTCAAGCCTCTGGGAGGCCAAAAAAGGCCTCAAACCAGCCAAAAGATCAGCTATGAGGCGCGGTGCAGGTAAGGGGGCGGCGGGGGGAGGATTGCGTGCGCATGCGCAGGGTTCATTGCCTTCTGGGTGCTGGCACACAAGTGTGCACACACAAAATTTTTGGCACAGGAGCCCAAAAAGGTTAGCCACCACTGTTGTATACCCATTCAGACAAGTGGCTGTCCAGTCTCTTCTTAAAAACCTCCAGTGATGGAGCAGCCACAACTTCTGGTGGCAAGCAGTTCCACTGGTTAATTGTCCTCACTGTTAGGAAACTTCTCCTTAATTCTAGGTTGCTTCTCTCCTGGATTAGGTTAGTTTCCATCCATTGTTTCTTCTCCTGCCTTCTGGTGCTTTGGAGAATAAATTGACCCCCTCTTCTTTGTGGCAGCCCCTTAAATATTAGCCCTTAATTATTTTGAATAAGCTGCTTTGGTATAATTCTTCCAAAATTAGTGACAATATTAAGCCACAGGAAAGAAAGTTAAGAGTAGGAGAAAGTCACAAAGCAGACCAAAGACAGACTTCAGTGTATTAAGTATCCTGATTCCTGAATTGACTAGCATCTCACTGGATCCAGTGCTCTTAAACTGTTCATTAAAGCCAATGAACACTGTGAATAAACATTAGAAGTGGTACGGCGATTGTGACAAAATCTGTGATACATCTTTCATTTATTTTTTTATTTTATTTTAATTTATCTGCCTCCTGCCTTTATTGTTTTTACGAATAACTCAAGGCGGCGAACATATCCAACACACCTTCCTCCTCCTCCTCCTATTTTCCCCACAACAACAATCCTGTGAGGTGAGTTGGGCTGAGTGAGAGTGACTGGCCCAAAGTCACCCAGATGGTTTTTATGGTGAAGGCAGAACTAGAACTCACAGTCTCCTGGTGATTGGCCTAAAGTCACCCTAGCC